CCCCCTAACCAAAAATTACGCTTAAAGTTACTCCTGACAAAAGCTCCCCCCCCCCAAACCACACCAAAATTTATGCATCTGCAAACTGTATTCACAACCAACATGCATGCCCTAAATTTAATATGCTTTAACAAAATTAAGGCCAAATGAAAACACAAATGGCTACTCCAATTGGAGCTCTGGATTCACTACATTTTTTGTGTTCTAAAAATATCCTCCAACTTCTTTAAAGTACGCACTTATTTCTTTCCCACTATGCTCCCACTTCATAAAAAATGCCCTTACCGGTAATCGTACATCACAACAGAAACAGCTCAAATAAAAACTCAAAAACCAAAATGTCTCAAGATGTGTACTAAAAGCCACAGCTGCAAACAACTCAAACGAACAGTAAATGGAACTTGCCTGGCATGCACATTTATACAAGGACATAAGAAAGGCAAATGCTGCTTCGTTGTGCACATAGAACCCATCATGATCAAGATTTTTCATGACAACTGTCCAATTTAGCCCAGGAGCCTGGATAAAATCAATAATTAACTAAGAAAACACACAAAAATAGCAAAATATGACACAATTGCTGCATATGTTGACACAAAAAGTGAACTCACTAGATCCTTGATAGCATCAATGAGTATATCAGGATCCCAAGAACTCCGAGATGGTAAATCGTGCACATTTGTACTTGCAAGAGCAGCTAGGAAAGTTGAAAATATATTCAGATTATCCTCCAGACCTGGATAGGTGCGAATAATCATCCCAATTATCCTTGAGACAGTAATTTCTGTCAGTGGTGAAAAATGAGAAAAGATTTCCTTGCATTGCAACACAGTAGCCGTACATCCACAGCCCAACTCCTTCATTGTATCAGCGACGCTCATTTCCTTTTCCATCTCCATTAAAAGTGAATCAAAATCATCTTCACTGTCATCGCTAAAAACATCAAAGTTCCTGCAGCACACAAAATGATGCAATATCATTCACTAGTTATAGCTAAGTTGGAAATACACTAATTATTACAGATACACACGCGCATTCACATCATTATATAATTTTACATGGAGTACATAATTGTTTATTATTATTAAGTGATGAACATATGAGTACAAAGCTTTATACATGAGGTCTCAAGCTGAATCATTTTCCATCAGTTCTATCAGAATCAGAAGCACCAAAAAATTTAATGCTCGTAAGTCGTATCAGTAGTAGTAGTAGTAGTAGTAATAATAATAATAATAATTATAATTATAATAACCGTGATGAGAGATCAATCTCAGCAAGCGATACCTCCAGCTGTTGGTTTCATGGTGCTCATCTGAAAGCAGTGGAGCTAAAATGAATTGGGATCCCCCATTTGATCGAACAAGAGAAAGCATGTGAATAAACAAATCCACATGTTTTGAAAGGCCTTCAGATTGATTAAGAAACAATAGAATACTCTGAATTTGTTCCACAGAAATTGAAGACGGATTATTTAGACATAATTCCTCAATTTGATGCATGCAGTAGCTTCTCCCTGCAAATATATATAAAAATACATTCCATAGAACACAAAAACAACAGCACTCAACTGGTCAGTCATGTTCAGGTTTGCACAAATATTGATCTAAGAACAAGTTTGTTGAAAGGTCATGATTTAGAAAGAGCTTACCACACATTTTGACATCAGCATTATCAGAATCAGATAGAGCCAGACCAACTTCAATTCTCTCCGACACTGACAACTGTAATGCACTACACAGATTTTCTAGAAAGTCCTCGTCAATTGTAAGACCTCTTACAGCCACACAGAAAACTGCACTGAAATTAGGTTTATCCAATATGAACTTGAAAATGGAAGCAACAACTTCATCAAATCGCACATTCTTCAGGTTCTTCCCATAAATATCAAGATGATCGAAGCAGCTTTCAAGAAGCAGCACTCTCCCCTCAAATCCATATGTTGCAAACTGTAGTTGTAGAAGCAATATCAGCTAGCTGATGCATATGAATTGTGTCCATTACATTCGTCCATTTTCCAAATTTCAAAAAAAAAAACATGCTTGAAAAAGCTTCTTGTAGAATCCAATACAAAAGCAGAAAAACTTTCAAACCAGGGGTAATCATAATCGAATTCTACAATTTTAGTTCTTTAAATAGCCAATATCCTAAGCAGATAGAAGTGAGTTTCCATTCAGAATTTCACATATATTAGAATAAGAAGAGTACCCCACAAGTCCATGTCCCACTATATGTAGGGCATCATGATGGATAGCAGGATAGCCTTAAATCAATACGACTACAGAAGTTAGCAATGCACGCACAAACCGTTCATTAATTTAGGATTTCAAGACTTAAACCTTATATAACGTGCAATTACCTCAACCGAAGATAAATTCAAAGACAGCTTGACCAACAAGAGTTCATACGACTACTGCAGAATTCATGCACGTTCCTAATATCGACACGGGAATAAATTAACAGAAAAAAAAATAACCTGGATGAGCGAATGGAACACTGTTTCGGGATCGGAATCCTTTAAGCTCTGCAGCAAATACCGAATTTGAGAGGAAGACGTCGAAGCGATCGGAATCATCGCGAGAGACTGTGCTAGGGTTTCTCTTCTATTTTAGGGATTTGGCGAGCAAGAGCGAACACTTGCGATCGAATTGGCTTCTTGGGGGTTTGTATAGGTTTCTTGAGATCGGGCTCGCACTGGGGATGAAGAGTTTGAAAATGATTAGAGAACCCTTACCTAGGGTGTGCACGTGGTTATATACTCCTCCAAATTGATTTAACACTCCTTTTGGTGCCAAAGTTTTCTCCCTCCGTCCCATTTTATAACGCCTGTTTCGATTTACGATGTTTGACTGAAATTATTTTCAAATCATTTTATATGACAAATAGTATAGAGTTAAAAAATAAAAATTACATATCAAAATACTACATTAAAAGATCTACAAAACTAGTAGTGACAACAATATTTTATTTTATCAAATTGCTAACAAAAATAGTATTTGTTTAGAATCTTCTGCTATTACTTGTACTTGTTGTTTGTACTTGGCGCTTTATATGGGCTATATTGTGTTCCCTTCCATATTTTTGTGCAGATGGAGCCGGGGGTCTCTTGGAAACAGCCTCCCTACTTCCGAGTAGGGGCAAGGTCTGCGTACACACACCCTCCCCAGACCCTACTATTGTGGGATCCAATTGGGTTGTTGTTGAGTTGTTGAGTTGCTAACAAAAATAGAGAAAGAAAGTGAATGAAGTTTGACCCTGTGAATAGTGAACAGGCATTATAATTTGGGACGGATGGAGTAATTAGTTCAATGTTTTTCCCATTTTTTTTAGTTCGTTCAAAAATATTCTTCACATTTTTTTGGGTCTACTTTTAAATATAATTTTTAACAATATTCTTCTATTTTATCACTAATTTATTTTTTTATTGTTTTTTTAATAAGAAAAGAAGCTCATGAAGTTTATAACACGTAAATTTTTGAAAATTTGGCACTTTTTTTACTACTCCTTAATAAGCATGTCAAGTCAACACGTGAAAAATTTATTATACACCATTTGCATACTAAGCTTATACAAAGACACGCAGACAATAATTGTTTGTGCATGCGGAGATAATCATTGTCTCTGTATATCTCTAATTTATTTGGTTTGCAAGTGGTGTATCATAGCACATTCCTAACTTTTATTCTACATTAGAATGAAAGATTTATTAAATTTATTTGAACATATTACTCTTTCCATCCTAAATTAATATTTTGTTATTATTTGATAGTGTAAATTATCTCGACCACGATATCGTTTTTAGCCGGGCAAGAACGATAAACTAGTCTAATAAAATACACCAAAATATAAACACAAGATTTTTGACATGGAAATCCAATCGGTAGAAAAACTACGAGCCTTTTTTGGTGGTACCTTGCCAACGGATGATTTTTATTGATATCGGGGGTTGTACACGGTACATAATTTGGGCTCGAAAAACATTAATGGAAGCTTCAAGCTTCTTTGAAGAAGAAAGTATACAATAGATCTAGAGAGAGAAACATATGGGCAAAGGAGAGAGAGTGAAATTGCCCCCTCAACATTGAGGGCCAACCCTCTTTTTATAGGGAATGAGGGGGGCATATTTGAGGAATATTTTCTAGAAATCAGCCTAAATACGACTAAAACATAGATACAAGTACCAAAATAAGACTTTCATGTTTTTTTTTCGAAATAGGACTTTACACTGTGGTAATGTGACTTTGCCTTGTAATAATGTGACAGTGTACATGTGCAAATTACTATACGTTTTTGGTAATGTATATGACCATGTATGGTAATGTAAGTCCTATTTCGGGAATAAAAACATGGACGTCCTATTTTGGTATATTTTCATTGTTTTAGTCCTACTTTGGCCTTTCTCCCAATATTTTCTTATTATTTCATTTTATTAAATAGGACCGGTTTGATTGTTCTTCAATTCGTAGATTATTGGGAAATGTGGACGGAGCCACGTATTATTTCCTATCAAGAAGTCATCCACTTTTTTAAGTTGTGAGAATCATCAACTTAAGAAAGTAAATAAGTCCTCCGTGTGCTATCTTCAGTCTTCATACTTTGCATTCTTGACCGGTTGATATTACTAGTCCTCCAAGTCTTCATTAATTCCCTAATTTCTTAAATCAAATGTTTTTTCTGCAAAAAAACATTGGAACCCAATGTCATGGGAACTTTGGGGTTATTATTATTGTTATTTATGATAAGTAAGTACTATTAGAGCAACTCCAACCGTTGGGGCATCTGAAGAGGTAAAATGATTATAACTACCATTTTTACCTTTTTTTTAATAAATATTGCACTCCAATGAGAGAGGTATGTGAGGGGGTAAAATACCTTCATCAATTTTAAAGAAGTAAATATACCTTCATCAAGAAGAAGAGGTAAAGTGAGGGAATAGGTGGTTGGCAGGGCGGGTAGAATTGAAGATGAAATTAATTACCAAAACCTAACATTTGCAAGCAATAAATTAAGAAGTGGTAATTTTGTGTTATAAAGTGTACTTCATCAAGTCTCTTCTCTTCAGCATAGCATACGGGTGTAGGGTTTGGCGGAGTCACTGAGCTTGAAGGTCTGGGACAAGAAAAATTAGTGGGGGGAGTTTCTTCTGTCTTTTTTTTTTTAAATTTATCCACTAATTTTTTTCCTATTGATGTGTGCAGATGGATTTCCCACAATACGAAGAGTTGGAGTCGCTCACAAATTTGATGACGAGTGAAAATTCGGTCGAATTAAGGGACGACTATGATAATTTTGGGATGACTTTTGAAAATGATAATTCAAATGTTGTTTCTCCTGCTGCACGAAAAAAGGGCAACGTACTGCTAGTTTCACCCGTGAAGATGATAAGCGTTTAATTGCAGCTTATCTTGATACTAACAAAGATCCCGCGACCGGAAATGGCCAAAACGCTTCTACTTTTTGGGGACGAATAGCACAACATATTGAACAAACTGGAGGTTTTTCTGTCCCACGTACTTTATCGACCATCAAAACACGTTGGAGAGACATCAATAAACAATGCTCCAAATTTGTCGGAGTCTACAGCCAAATTGAGAGGCTCAACCAAAGCGGGCAAAACGAACAAGGAAGGTAATTTGTTAAAAGTTATAGAGTAAATATATTGAACTTTTAAAATCTACTACTTCTCTAAATTGTTTCACTACTTTTCAGTTCCAAGAAGCATGCAAGGAGTATCGTAGACAGGTAGGGAAGTCCTTTACGTGTCAACATTGTTGGGGAATTCTAAGGATTGATCACAAATGGCAAGCAGCTTTGCCGAATAAGCGACAAAAAACAACTGAAGAAGAATTTGTTACCTTGGATGGGGCTAACCAAGATAGGCCATTGGGTAGGAAAGCTTCGAAAGAGATACAAAAAATTAAAGGGAAAGGTGTTGTTGGGGGGTGTAAGTTCGATTTTTACCCAGAATTTCTTGAACGGAAAGAAAAATCCGAGCGAGAAAAAGCTGAACGACAATAGAGAACGCTCCGACAACATCATCAACAATTAGATCTTCAACAAGCTCAATATGAGTTAGACATCATTGGTCGAGATACAACTGGCATGAGTGCTCAAGAAGCTGCTTATTTTGGGAGTCTTAAGCAAGAAATCTTCACAATGAGGGGATTCTAAAATACTATGTACTCCGTATGAATTAACTACTGGTACTTTGTTGTTATCCTTTATTGGTGTTATGAATTAACTAGACTTATTCTTATGGTGCATGAAATGAAATATATATTATAAAGTTAGAATTACAACACAAAGTAAAAATGCAATTTAAACTCATATTAAAGCACAAAGCATACATGGGTGCTGAATTTGTTCCTCCTGTAGTGCCAAGACATAAAAGCAAAAAACATACTATTTTCCATGTAGTTCCCATTGGTGCTAAATTAGATCTTCCTTCAATTGTGAATGAGTCTCATTGCTTCTTATCCGACCTAACCTTTCCCAGAGCTCATCAACAATTTTTAGGTATTCCTGTAACATTGTGAATGAAGAAACTGTGTTCATTTCATCAAAGTTAGTATCACCTGCCCCCCCCCCCCTTCATCCTCAATTATCATGTTATGCATTATAATACATGCCTTCATGATATTTGAGAGTGTCTGTAGATCCCAGATACGAGCAGGACCACGCACAATAGCAAATCGAGCTTGGAGCACGCCAAAAGCCCTCTCAACATCTTTTCTAACCGCCTCTTGCATTTTAGCAAAATGCTTATGTTTTGAGCTTTGAGGGCATGAAATAGTTTTCACAAATGTTCCCCATCTAGGATATATACCATCTGCAAGATAGTATCCCATTGAATAATTGTGCCCGTTTATTTGATAATTTACTGGTGGGGCAAGACCTGAAGCAATTGTATCAAACACATGGGATCGATCTAAAACATTGATGTCATTGAGCGACACCGGCATTCCAAAGAAAGCATGCCATATCCAAAGATCCGGCGATGCAACAGCTTCTAGTATTATCGTTGGACTGTGACAATAACCGGTATACATTCCTTGCCACGCTGTTGGACAATTTTTCCACTTCTAGTGCATACAATCTATGCTTCATAGCATGCCTGGAAACCCGCATTGTTTGCCAAGTGCTAGTAGTCGAGCGATATCATTGTTAGTTGGAGCCCTCAAGTAGTGAGTACTGTATACCTCTACGATTGTTGCCACAAATTCTCTTAGACACGCTAAGGTAGTACTCTCTCCAATCCGGATGTATTCATCCGTAGCATCTGCTGGTTGGCCATATGCAAGCATCCTCATGGCTGCAGTAATTTTTTGAAGGGAGGATAACCCAAGAACACCAACAGCATCTGTTCTTTGACAAAAATATGTATTGTGAGCTACTGCCTCGTCAACAATTCGACAAAAAAGAGGACGATTCATGCGGAACCTCCTGCGAAAAAAATTGGCAGAATACACTGGACTATCAGAGAAGTAGTCACGATAGAGTCTTTCATGACCTTCTTGCCTACCACGATTGATCATTCGGTGTCCCATAACAGATCCGCGATGACCCGTACTCCGTCGGTGACTTGTCTCTTCCTCTTTTGTTGCTGCTATGATCGTATCAAATTCGTCATCTGACTCATTGTCCATATGATCTAAAATATTAAGAAAAGGAAATATTTTTTCAAACAAAAGAAGGATATACAGACACTACAAAAAAAGTGGGCATTACCGACATATCCTTAGTGACAGAAACCTTATTTGTCGCTAAAAAGAGAATATTACCGACAGATAAAATTATTTGAAGAAAAAAACTATTTGATCCACGGAAAGGGTAATATCTGTCGCTATAGGTTATCGTTTTAGCAACAAAATTATATCTGTCGGTATTGCTTATAGTTTTAGAGACAAAACTTTATCTGTCAGTATTGTTAATAGTATTAGCAACAAAAAACATATCTGTCGATATTGTTTATAGTATTAGAAACAAATATTTTTCTGTCAGTATTGTTTATAGTTTTAGCAACAAAGTTTTATCTGTCAATATTGATTTTATTAATATTAAAATTTAATTTACATATCTTAATTTAGAGTAAAAAACTGTAAATAAGTAGGAAAAATCCAAAAAGACAAAAGTGTAAAATAAACGATGTAAAAAGGGTCAGCCCAATAGACTACTAGAAAAAAAACTCCGTATTAATCCCAATCATCTTGTTCTTGAATACTCATTCCGTAGGAAAAAAACTTCTTTCTCTGACGATCCACAGACACGGAGTTTATCAAATCGATTGGGTAAAATTATAAAATCATTGAAGAGAGATGCAATTGGGGAAACGAGATCACCTCATACTCATTTTTCTTCGTCTTCTTCTTCGATTTGTGAGACAGGAGAACAGAGATCGCAACTATAGGAACGAGATGATGCCAGGACTAGGGTTCGGAACACTAGCAGTTAGTAACCAACGAGAAGATGCTGAGGCTACTAGGCTAGGGTACGAAGTATCATTTAGCGACGGGGAACGTTAAGAGGGATAATCTTGAGACACTACCACCGGCAATGACTTGGAGATGAAGAGCACCCTATACAAAGCCTTATCCCAAAAAATCTAGCATTAGGGATGTTTTCTAAGGTATAGTCCTCAAGTGCATAAATTTATTAAATTTCCTCTTCGTTTATGTCTTGATTTGGATTTTATTGTTCAATTTGAGTATGATTAATTATGAATGTTTTAGGGCTTGAAAGATTTTAATGTGTTTTTAATCCTATTTTGTGAGATTTTTTTCTTATGTTGAATTTAATATAGGCTATGACTGTTTGTTGTATATTAATGTTATTTCACATACTTAGGTTTTTATTACCATTGAGGGGTGTTCACTTTCACCACTTTTAAAAGGTTTGGATTGAAACGTTCCAGGATGTGAATGCTATTTGCTACTCCCTCCGTCCGGAATTAAACTTCCCAGTTTGACTTTTCTTTATTTTTAGTGGAAGTTGACTATATGTGTAATTTGTCCAAAATGTCCCTTGCCTTCATGTCCCACGCCATAGTCCAGCAACCCGCCACGGCGCCACCCCTTGCTCCGCCGACCTTTGACAGCTCCCACCACCGTCCACCACCACTTGCCCCACCTTCGCCTATGCCCTATTGCCGCCACCGTCAGCCCCTCATTCGCCGTCATCTCCGTCACCCCTGTCCCAAAATCTTAGATCTAAAAAAAGTGAAACAAGAAAGGAGAAGAAATATCTCAACTTTACCGTCGCCATGTCTGAGAATAAAAGAAAAGGGAGGAGAAAGAATAAGGATGGGGACAGAGGAGGAGAAAAAATAAGAAGAAGATACATGAAGAGATTAGTCACCAGAGATCTCACAGATCTGAGAGACAAAGAATCAAGAGAAAGAAGAAGATGATGAAAAAGAAGAAGAAAGTCAAGGAGTAGATCCAATCGGGAGAAGAAGGACGAGAAATGAGAGAGAGAGAGAGAGAGGATGAAGAAGACTTACGATGAAGAGGAAGGATGAAGATTGGGAGAAATGGGAGAAGTACGAAGTACTGGAGTAGATAAGAAGAAAAAAGGAGTGGTTGAGAGAGAGAGTAAGTGAGAGGTTGGCGAGTAAAATGAGGGGTATTTTTGGAAGAGTGTTGATAAAAACATAGAGTGGGAAGATTATTTCCGGACGGGAAAAAACGTAGAGTGGGAAGATTATTTCCGGACGGAGGGAGTAGTAATAAATAGATCATTGAAGATTTTTAATTTTCTTTACATCTGGACATGTAACTTTTTGTGTTTATAGATATTGAATTTTAATCTCCAAGGGTAATATAACTTGTAACAGTCTGATTGAATCCATAATGTATTTTTATTGTGTGGCAGAGTTTGCATCAACATTCTGAGATTAGTATTGTGTGAGAACAATTTGATATCTACATGAAACTGACTTGAGCTAGAAAATTGAATGTAGGTCTTTGAAGTAAAGAGAGATTCTGAACATATCTTGTCAAAATATGAGTATAAGGTAAATTTGGTGCAAAATATGTAACTACGTTATCATGTGCTTATTTTTTTTTGCATAGTGTTCAAAAGCTAATCAATCTGAAATCGATGATCTTACAACTGGTGGTAATACAACCATTGAGAAAAGTCGTGATGAGGATCGATGGAATAAAGATGATGAACCTGAGAGCGATGAACTTGAAGATTTATACAGTGACAAGCATTAAAGCTTTGGACTATATCTTTCATATCGATGCGTATTTTATTTTAGTTCACTTTGACTGTTTATACTTTAGCTTAAATGATGTTAGTTTACATTCTAGTAAATGGGTTAGTTGTAACCCTTTGAAATGTTATCGTATTATGTATTGTTGTTAATACAAGTATGAATATTATTTTTTATCTGTCAATGAAATTATTTAATATCACTTAAATAGTTGGTATTAGTAACAGTTATAATAAATGTAAATGTTGGTTAAAATAAGCTATTACCGACAGAAAAAATGTTTGGCTCACAGATTTTTTTGTCAGTAATATAACTTTTAGCGACAGTTATAATAAATGTTAATGTTGGTAAAAACAAGGTATTACCAACAGAAAAGAAGGATTTACCCACACTTTGTTTTGTCGGTAATTCATTTTTTTAGCGACATATATGTTTTGTCGGTACTTCTCTCTGTTTTAGCGACATCTTTGGTCTGTCGCTATTACACTATTTTAGCGACAGTATATTTTATCTGTCGGTAATACTTTTATTGACGGAGTTTTTAGCGACAGCTTAGCGACAGACAATTATCTGTCGGTAAAAGCGAGTAGCGACAGATATTTAACCATTAGCGACATATTGACCCTTGTCGGTATTGCATTCTTTTTTTGTAGTGAGATTGACAATAAGTTAACATTTAAATAGTTTCACTTTTGAAATTTGAAATTCTCATTTTGGCGCAGTTGTGTTTTTTTAAAATTCAAATCAAAAGGTGAAGTAATGATGATTAAAAATCAATTCCTCTTTTACCTTTTGATTTACCTTCCCTCTCATTGGAATTACACACTTTTGGGGGAGGTAAACTTGATTACTTGGAGAGGTAAATGAGATATATACCTCTCCAGAATACCTCTCACTATTGGAGTTGCTCTTAGGGAGTATTAGAGCATCTCCAATCATTCCATTTTGGCTTGCTAAAAGCTATGATATAGCAAGCCAATCATTTTTTTCATCTCCAATGGTTGTGTTATATTATAGCAAGCTTGCTAAAGAATGAGGTTGACTTACTAAATATAACAAGTTTACCAAAATATAGCAAGCTAAGAATTGTAAAATGGATTAGCAACTTATGGTTGGAAAATGAAACAAAAAATTGTTTGCTATATCACTATTCACTTGCTAAAATATAAAATTAGCAAGCTAATATAGTAAGCATGGTTGGAGATGCTCTTATTATTATGGGGAAGGTTAAAGTGACATTGAACCTTGATGCCATGGGATGACCCGGGGTGCTCCGGTGTCTCGTTCGTAAAATTGACAGTACCAATCCCTCTAACCACCCCGGTAAACCCCCACCAGGCCCAGGCCCTAACACACCCCCACCCCTTGAACCCCATAATACTTGCCGACCCGCCATTCTCGTACCACTTGCCTATCCACAGGGCCGTTGGATAGGAGAGAACGCATTGCTGTTTGACAATGCCCATCGTCGCCGAATCGTCAGAAGATAATCCAATCGCGCCGCCTAGCAGCAACGCCGCACCGCCACTTCCTCCGCCGCAAGGCTATTCCCCGAAAAAATTGGAAACCCTAGCACAGGATGCGCCGTGGATTGACCATACTCTGCAACAGGCACTGCAGGCGCGGCAGACTGTTGTCACTGCCGCAGAGAATGCAATTGCTGCAACGAAGTCTCGGCTGGATCGCATCCTGACCACATCTTCTGCCCATTTTAACCAATCTCTCGTAACATTCATATTTCTTCTCTAGCTTTCGCTTTCGTATCTTGCCAATTTGCAGTGCTTTTTCTGCATTTTATTGAGCTTATAAATGGTTAGCTTCGAAATTTTTCTTTCCTTTGTCTATCTTTCCAAAACATGAAACAACCCAATCAATGATTTCCTAGTGCATTGCTCTAAGGGCATTTTAATAGCATGCTTTAAAGCTGATTTTTTAGGAGTCACCTCAAGGGTGCTGAATTTTTTTCTAAGGTTGAGACTTCGAACCGGTGTTGCCAATGTTGCATATTAGTTATGCTTCTTTCTTTATGACAATTCGTGGTAAAATTGATGCAGGATACCTTACAAGATGTTAAGGCTGAATATCATGTATACGAGGACTTAACGTTTCGGAAGATTAAAGGTTTATCCTGCATAACTTTCTATTTAACAATTAAGATATATTTTCTGTTTCTGAATTATCGTGAGTTTACTTAAGTTGTATTTGCAGAGGGTATTGATGTTGCCGCTTCTCATCCTCTGACCACAACAGCAGCTTTATTTAGTCTCGGGGTTCTGTTCCTGAAAAGTAAGTGTTTTACAACCAACAGTGCTCACTCAACCTGATTTTTTTTAGTTTCCTATTTAATCTATCCCAAAATTATATATATAGTGCTTCTTCCACCCTGTTATAATTATCCTACTTTTCTTTTCCATCTCTCCCAAATAAATGTTTCATTTCTTTTTTTGAGGAAAAGAACATGCCCGTCACAATATTTCTCTCCTTTGCATAACTTTCAACCACACACTTCACTTTTGAACACTTTTTTTTAAATTATGTGAAAGTCAAAGTGGGACAATTTTTATGGAATGGAGGGAGTATTTCATTTTATTGAAAGCAACATGCGATTCACATTATTTCTCTTCTAAATTAACACCTTAATTTTCATTTTCTTAAATTTCATGTCGGTCAAAGTGGGTGACAGTTTTGGATATGGAGTAGCACTTTCTTTCCCCTCAACTATAGTTTGCTTGAATACATGTGTTATTATGCAATTGAGCAAAATATCTTGATTATTCCATCAAGGCTTATGTTGCAAGGGCTAGTTCATGGACAATTTCATGTGCTTGGCCCGATTCTTTGTATATAATTATGCACTCTTGTACAATTTGAAAGGAGGAACTACAATTACATTTTCTCAATTTACATCTAGTTAACCTGGTATCAGAGCATGACTCTATACAAGGGTTTCTATAATATTAAAAAAAAGCTGACATTTGGTCTGCTCAATCAAGGCAGTTCATGAACACCAATCTCTGTTGTTTTTCGTTGTCAATGCTCAGATAGAAGAAATCACCCCCTAATTTGCAATTCTTGAAAGTTTTACCAGCAAACCGACCTCAGATACGTCGTTCTCCACATGCCAACACATGAGCTGGCTTCTAAGTCTATAATCGTGTTCAACCTACAGATTGTAGGTCACCATGATTCTAACGGTCAACCATTAGGCTTCTTTAGAAGCCTAATATAGTTAAAATCCTAAAATAGATGACCGTTTTCTGAAATATTAAAATAGCTGGACCTAAGATCAGACCTAAATGCAGTTGGGTGACAGTCGCTTGGTCTATTTTTTGGTCTAAACCTAATGTTGAACAGGCCTAGCCCCTAAGTATGCTTTTGAATTGTACGTTATGAATTAATTAACACTTTGGGATTTAGAATTCGATCATACTATCACATAACAGCTCATGATTTATGGCTTAGGTGATCATGCGCCCATTAGCTTGAAGTAGATACGATATTATACAATTGTATGTCCATAAAACAAACTATGATGATTTTCCACTTGCACCCCGCTTTATTTAGAAAGGGTTGTAGTCATCAACGATGGCCTTGTTTGAGACACACCTCTTAGCCGTTAGATGTTTGTGCTAGATGTCCGTGTAGACTATAGATGTTTGTCTTTGTATGAGAAAAATCTATTTGGTAAAATGAGTTGTTTGCGTGAGTAGTTTGAGATTGGAAACCTCTCTAGTTCAGTTGTTTACTCCACTTGTAGTTGTTTTATTTTTGAATTTGTTGTGTCAGTTTGATAGTTTAAAAGGTAAAAACTGTAGACCCAAAAATGTTTCCAAAAAGATTGAAATATAACATGTTTGTAATCCAGGTTTTGAGGCTAAAAAGCCATCTCAATAAGTTCATCAAACATTTCTAATAGCCATTTGGCTAATCTTGTGCATCAAAAAGCATTTTTTAAACAAAAATTGCCCAACGGTCTCCTTTCCAAACATCCTCAATGCCATGCCTTTAAGCTTTAATTTTATATTTATATTTGGATTTGTATTGCGAGGGTTTGTTATAAATTCAGCATAACATATATTCACCCATATATTCACCTTAGAGTTGATAATTTACTACAGAACCAAGGCGATATGTATATTTCAAAGCAAGGCGCCTCTTTTCCACTGAAGAGGTAGTAAACTGTTTGCATATCAGCTTCTCTTGCAAAATTTTGTACTGTTATTGATAAGCAAATGAGCTGGACCTGGCCAGTCTGCATCATCATGTGTTAAAGTTTAGTAAAATAGGCTGGATCTGGTAAGGCTTCCTCATCACGCGGGTGGATAAAATCATAAAAAGAAACATTTCATAAATAGTTGAAACATAGACAGATGGAACAAGATGTACTAATGTACTACTCCCTCCGTCCCATGAAACATGGGAGTTTTGCTTTTTAGGAGGGATTTAAGGGGAGTGTATTTTGGTATTGAATTTCCAAAAATGTCCTTTGATGTAATGGGTAAAAGTATGATTTGATGGATAGATTATTAGTAAAAAGGTATGATGTGATAGTTAGGGTATGAAAAAGTAAGGGGTAAAAGTGACTTTTTAATAGAAATGAGAAGTGTTTTGTGGGACGGATAAAAAAAGAAAGGAGAAAGGTTTTATGGGACGGAGGGAGTATATGCATAAATGGGTTAAATGGTAAATGCACTAATTAATACTCCCTCCGTCCCACTCTCTTTGTCCACTTACCTTTTGGCACACCATCCAATGCACTTCTTTAATCCATTTTATCTTGTAATTTGTATATTAAAAAATTATAGAAATTATATATTATCTATATGTTAAGACAAATCAAACAAGATCACACATGACTATATTTAGGCTTACACATTGAGAGAATTTGATGAGTCAAAGTGCTTAGATGAACATTTCCAAAAGTCAAAAGTGGACAAAGAGAGTGGGACGGAGGTAGTAGCTCTCTAAACTAGTAAAGAACTACAACTCTACAAAATAAAGTTGGATGATTGGATC